CCCCGCGGGGCGCTGAGGGGCCGGGCCCGGTGTCTGCAGGCTGCAACGGGGCTTGGTGAAAACAAGGGGAAACGCCCCAAAGCCCCCCGAGATAAAGGGGGGCGATGGCTCTGGGCGTGTGTCCCTGCAGGGAACCCCGCGCCCCCTCCTCTTGGAGGCCGGGTGGAGGTCGGGGGTGGTTCTCGTGTCTGTGGGGTTGAGAAGGGGCTTGTGCTCGGCTGCTCCTCGTTTCCCCAGGGTTGTAACCTGGCCAGTCCTGCAGAACTGGTGTCCAAGGCCAGGCTGGACGGGGCTTGGAGTAGCCTGGTCTAGTGGAAGGTGTTGCTGCCCATGGCAGGGGGTGGAACAAGATGGGCTTTAAGGTCCCTTCAAACCCGAACCATCCCACAGTGGCAGCTGCAGCTTGGCCTCTTTGCTGTGGAGCTTGTGAGGCTTCACGGTGGGGGGAAGCCCCATCTACCTTCCCCCAGCATTGTCAGCCCTGGTCCCGTCGATGTCCAGAGGGTCCTGGTGTGGCTGGTGTAGTGCTTGCTGCCCTCAGTTTGGGATTGAGGGATGAACCCCCAGTGCAGTGGGGGTGAGGTGACAGGAAGCATCCAGTGTCCCCTGCCTAGTGGGAGGGGGCTCACCAGTGCCCTACTGGGCTGAAGGAGGGTCTTGGAGGGTTTGGTGGTATTGGTTCAGCAAACAGTTGCTGCATTGCTGCACAAATTCCACACTGAAGGTGGAGGTGTGAAGGATTTCAGCACCTTTCCTTGTTTCTAACAGTCCCCTGTGCAGGAATTCCAGGTTGCTGAAGGCTGTTGGCACTAACTCTGTGCCAGCTCTGTCCTGGTGTTTGCTCCAGGCAGTGACCAGAGGTAGGAGGGGAGTTAAAACACTACCTCAGTTTGCTTTCCCAAACTGAACCCCTCCTCAACCAGCTGCTGGCCTCCCAAGGATCAGCATCTTCATGGAGCAAGGATCTCTGCTAGACAAGCTCTTCCAACAGGCTGGAGGCTGGTATGCTGCGGGATTGATTCCCTGAGCTCCAGGAGCCTCTGCCCACCTCTCCCAGGCTCTTTCCAGCCTGTCTGATCCAGCCAGCAGTGCAGGAGGGATTGGTGTCTGTGGCAGGAGGCCCTCCAGCAACATTCTGCAGTTTCCCAGCCTGGGGAAGCCTCGAGCAGAGTGTGGCTTTGACCATGTGAATCCACTGGGAATGGCCTGGCCAAGCTTCTGCCACCGGCACAAATCCAGAGCAACCTCTGCTCTGCTTCTGGTGCAACTCCTGCCTGGTGTCCTTGAGCTGTGCTGGTGTTGCCAGTGGCCTGGGATAAGGGAACAAGCCAGATGTGGGGGGTTGTGGAGAGATTGTGACCTTGTGAGGATGAAACTCTGGCACTGCTCTGGGCAAAACAGCAGCTGGGTCGTGTGTTTGGAAAACAACCTGAGAAAGTGCAACCCTGGACCAGGCAAGAGGAAGGTGCTGGTACCTCTGGCAGGCACCAGGTCGTGGAGATGGCCTGGAGCTTCTCAGGATCTTTCTTTGGTGAAGAACTGGAGGATGTAATAGGTGGCTTGTTGTGGCCCACCAAAAGGGATGAATGCCATTTAATTTCACAGGAATTCCTGTACTGGAAGGAGAGGCTGGG